CAGTTACGATGAGACACGTTTGATTACTTACTTGATTTCACGGTTTGTGTTGATGCGTTTGAGCACGGTGGTCATGCGAGGCTGTACGTAGCACCAGGCGCCCATGTTCTTCGGTTCCTCCTGGACAAACACGATTTTGGCCCTCGAGTATTTCTCTATCTCCTTTCTCACGAGGTCATACGGGAATGGTGAGATCTAGACACAAATCAATAAATAAATAGTTGCTCAACACTGGTAGAATATGCCTTTCATTAAAAATAATTTCTTTTTCTGATTATCTGTTTCTTTTATTACGGAAACTCAAACAGAATATTGCTGAAGCTACACTTAAAGAAATCTCTGTTGTATTTAAGTGGACTAACACACATACATATACACCAAGACATGTTGACCGATTTTTAAGCACCTGTTCTATCCTTGCGATGGCGATTTTGTCAGTGTTGCCCTTCATTTCTCTCTCCTTGACCAGCTCATAGTAGACCTTCCCACTACAGAATATCAGTTTCTTAACACCGTTTGGATCCTCTGATGCTGCTCCGGCCTCTGGTATGGCACGTTGGAACCTCGTACCCTCCAACATGTCGTCGAAGCTTGATCGCGCCTCAGGCAAACGCAGCAGATTCTTGGGTGTCATGATCACCAGCTATAATATCAAGATAAGAAATATTGAAGAATGTATCAATGCAAAATAGCAATTAAACAATGCTTAAAAATTCAAAACAATGAAAACGTTTGATTTGCTTTAACTATCTACTTCTGCAGTACATGTAATGGCAAATTAATTAAATTAAGCACAATTTATCCTATTTTACAAAGCACATATTAAAAGGATCTCAACTTACAGGTTTCCTGAAAGGGAGAGCAATCTGTCGACGCAGAACATGGAACATGTTGGCGGGCGTGGACAGCATACACACAAACCAGTTGATATCGTACAACTGCTGCATCTCAAAGTTCTCGTTTTCCACCTGCATAAAAAAAACAATCGAGGTCATTCAAATGGGACACCATTTTTGACAGATAATTATAAAATGTCTTACCCTTTAAATCAAGATAGTTGCTTTAAGTAATTCAGTATCACAATTCGTGAAATTTTGAATAAAATATTTATCACAATGTACGTAGAAGAGTAGGCGAGACTGCGAATGTTATGGGTCGACCAGCGAAAACATTTCCCAGGTTAATTATTAAGGAAGGACAAAAAGGTGTCTTCATTTCATATAACATCAGTTATACAATCGATCAAAATGTTGTGTGGTAGGTCATAAGGAGTTGGTCAACTGTCGGGGAGTGGTCAGAGCCTTGTAATGGTACGGCCATTGTATTGTCAGGGAATTATCAGTGTC